CTTGTGTCTGTGTCTTTTCCGGTCCTCTTCATTTTAACCTGAGCATACACAGGCAGACTATATGTCTCGCTTATCTAGGCTTTTAAGCTACTTAAGGAAAACAAGGTCATCCATTCCTTCTTTTTGAAAGGTTCCTTATCATTATGATCTCACAGCCCTTCTCCCATTTCCTCTCTGTTGTCTCTTCTAGTTGTTTCTATTGTCAAGTTTATCTTAATTTGTCTGTTTCTGAACATCAGCCTTTATACTTTAAAGACATTTTACAACACTTTTTGTGTGTGTGGGGGGGAGTCACTTTAAAAGTGAGCTTTGTTTCCTTTGATTACTCAATTCACTAAAGTTGGAGATTGCCATTGTAAGGTATTCAAAAAGATCGTATGAATCTTTTTTTCTGCTTTTCTTTCCTTCTTCTGCAAGCCTTTCCCTCTCTCTCCTCTCCTGTCTCATACTGTCTGCAGAGCTCTTCTCATCATCTGCCCTCTTGTCATTTCAAATCTTCAAAGTCCTCCAGCTGCCATCCTCTCAGAGTCTCTCTGTCCTTCCCTTCCATCTAACCCCCTCCTATTTCTAGATTCTGCTTGAAACCAGACAGTTGATCTTTTGCTATCACCTCACACTTTACATTTACACTTTACACATCTATCTGATATTTGTGCTTACTATAACGTGATTTATTTGAATTAATCTCCAGAAAGTGGTAATATACCTAATGAGCCTTCGTAAAACGATGCCCCCTGTTTGGCCTTCTCTCAAGTATTTATCTCTTCTTTCATTCCCTGTTCTCGTGCCTGAAGTCAGCCAGATAACAGCCCGTGTCGTCTTGTCCTTTAAGTGTCCGTCTGCTTTAATTGTTTCCATGACCGCAGAGCTTCATCATAAGTGACTGCTAGGCAATTAGGTCACACAGCCACTGGTGTGTTGAGCGCTTGTGTATGGACCAGATGATCAATGTCCTATTTGTCATAGTCTCAAACTACATCAATGAGCCATTCATCGTTAATGCACACACAGGCACACTCAGGGAGACAAGGACAGAGTGCATGCTGTCAGTGTCTCTGTATTTGAAATATTGATGTCAGAGGGAAATTCCACAGACGTACAACTCTTCCTTTATCTTAATGTTTAGGTTGTGAAGTTGGTGTCACAGGTCGCATTAGGTTGATATCACAGTTAACTATGTTGTTGTGTTATCAGTAATGTGCCTTTGTAACTTTAAACACAAGTTCTTTCATGTTGCTGAACAGGCCTTCCAGTGACTTAATCTCTTATCAAGGATTGCTAATTTAATATTCTGAAGGATAACAAACTATTGATATTTCATTGTAGAGTTTTTTGTTTCGTTTGTTTCTTGAAGAAATATAAGACAATGTGATTAATTAAAGTTTCATGCAGAGAACAGCATCCATTAGTCTGTATTTGATCAAGCTGATATCAAAAGGTGAAAAATTGGGATGTAGAGAGAATAACACTGCCTTCTCCTCCGGTACTGCAAAATGTGCTTCGACTTGTCTCCCTCTCGCCGTGTAAACGTTTACCATACAGGTATCAGCTGGTGGAGTTGTGTGACCTCTGCCAGTAACGTAATGACGGTAACATCATCCTGGAACCTACTGTTGTCTGTAGCTGTAAACTTGAACTGTGTTACAAAGCGCTGTGTTCTGTCCAAAAGCTAAAATGAAGTCCATAAATGCACGCTGACTATTTCTTTGTTCGTCTCACACAACACGGGCTGCAGGAGCAGCCTGTGCACTGACAAACTACCATCAGAGAAATGGATTTTTGTTGTTTATGTAATGTTAATGTTTGTTGTTGGGGGGTAAAAGGATTTTAGATGGTTGTAATATAATTAGAATTGCAGCAATGTATGTTTAAGGAGATGTAGGTAGCTGACACTTGTTAGGTGGACTTAGAATTCTCAAAGTAAAGATTAAAGAAAACCAGTAAAGATTTACATTACAGTAATGTAACATTCAAATTAACAGTAAGGACTCAAACCCTTTGGCAGAATTGTGAAAAAATAGCCCAATCTTCTCTGAAAACGCTCAAAAGTAATGTCTCTGGGGAAATTAAAGCAAAATGAAAGTCATTTCATTTCCATCTAATCAATTTGTCCTTTAAGGTTATTTCTGTTTGTGTGCGTGTGTGTGCGTGTGTGTGTGTGTGTGTGTGTGTGTGCGTGTGTGCGTGTGTGCATGTGTGCGCGTGTGCGCGTGTGCCTGCAAAGGTGAATCACAAATAAGTTTTCCCTTTTTATTTTTCCCAACAAGTAACAATGGCAGAGATTCAGAAATCACACAGCACCACCAGGTTGTCAACTAAAGCAACTACATTGTAAAGGATGTTGAGTGTTAGATTTGGAGAAGTCAAAAATCTCCTGCAAAACACTTCAAGCATGATGATCAATTTTATTAACTTTATCAGACTGACGTGTTTCGGCTTGTGGCCTTCATCAGGGTCATCCATCCCTGCATGTTTTCCAAAAAATGTGTGCACAGGGGCTTCTTTGTGCACTTGCAGTTGCTCTACCTCTCAGGTGGGTTATGCAAGAATTGTTGCAGCCAATGTCAGATGGCGTCAGAGACAAGTCTTCTGTCGAATTATTTTATGGCAAGCCTAATAGTCAGAAACTGTCTGGTTTAGGGTTTATGTTTCTTTGCAGGCTAGTAGTCATATGTAGCACTTACATTCAGCGGTGTCAAAGTAAAGCCTTTTAGCTTCACAAACCATGCAGAGAGGCAGAGAAAGTTATAGAGGGAGAGGCTTTCTTTATTTGCGGTTATATGTTAGTTTGCCATTTTATTGTTTTTCTCTAATTTACAGTGTCTGCTTTTTTTTAAATAATCTTGTAAACATGCTCCTAATGAAATAAGCAAAGGCTCAGAAATGGAGACTTTTGTATCAGTCGTCGGCTTGTGAGTATAAACACATTCTTCATGAAGTCAGATAAGGCTGCTGCAAAGACGCAGACAGCGTTGCGTCATTTCACCACAGCTCCTCGCTGTCTCGCCAAACACACACGTCAAGGTTAACTACCCTCACCTATCTTCTTCAGTCAGTGATACATTGCTTTGCGGAAACCAGTGACACAACCACCCGCAAGACAGACTCCCCAGTTCTGTTCATGCTGCTTTAAGAAGCAAATCATCTCATTTCCTCTCCTCCGTTCTCTCTCGTATATCTCCTTCTCTCTCTCACACACACACACACACACACACACACACACACACACACACACACACGTTCACAAACACACACTCCATGGTCTTGATAAAAGTGCTTTTGACAGTGTGGTCTATCATGTTCTGGCCTTCTTCTCTGTGTAATTCATGCTGCATCCGTGTTTCTCTATCTTTTCTACCCCCCTCTCTCCCTCCCTCCGCTCAAGTTCCCCAGACAGCCACATTATCTGAGGGAATGGCCATTGATTTTCTACAACCTATTTTCCTCCATCTCTGTCTATCTCTTAAAGATTCGTCCCTTTTTTTTTCTATTGCCGCCCCCATTAATCCAAAGATCGAAAACATCAGAGAATTCCAACCAGCTGTTAGATCCACACTTAACGGCAAGGTGTGGCATGTGTCAGACATCAAATCTCAAATTCAAAGCGTGCTTGTTTGATACATTTAAGGAGAACCTGAGGCCATTCTTTCACTGTTGTTCATTCGCTGAGTGAGAATCAAACAAATAATGTCCAACATCAAAAATGTAACTAACACAATTTTTGCTCTGGCTCTGGATACGTAACTTTTGTACTTTTTTGCCTCTGACAGATGAAAGCCAGAATTGTAAGATTCTCTTTTTGTCCCTTAAAGCCTCTTAATCGGGCCCCTTCTTCTGTTAACCTCTCCTCTGTCAGTGCCTCCTGATCCTTTCCTCTCCCCTTAGTCCCATTAGTTATCTCCTGATGGGTCATTAAGTATTAAACACCAGAGAGAGGGGGAAAAGGAGACGAGGAGACGGTAAGGTTGTGTCTACTCTGTGATAATAAATGGACGTTGGGGGACGGCAGAGGAAGAGCAGGCGAGAAGGGTAGGGCAGGTCCATCGGGTCTTTTCTGTAATGATAAGTGGGAGTCAGCAGGAAAGAGAGGGGAGCATCTGCTTTCTGTCCGAGAGAAGAGATTTGCATTAAGCTCTCTGAAACTGCCAGAGAAGCACCAGATTTGAGACTTTAAGGCAGGCTGCTTTGTATCTCCATCACCTTTTATTTAATAAGAGATTTAGTTTACAAAAGTCAGCACTACTTCCATTCACCCTTCAGGAAATCTGCACCAGAACTTTTTTTTTGTTAACAAAGACAATGAAGCCGTCAGATGACAAATTCAAAAACTGTTTGAAAAGAGATGATTGAATTCTGCTGCCATCTAGTGGTCATAGATATCATGAAAACCAGAATATCTGGCCTTGCTTTTATTTGGGACGGGCATCGGTACGATGCAGACCTTTGATTATTATAACTAAAAAGCTCCTTCACAGACGGAAAAGACTTTAAAACTGTAAACAAACATCACAAAGCTGTGTAAACATATCAGAATGTCTTTAGTTGTTTTAAGCATATCTTAGCGGAAACATTTTTGCATGAGAGATGGATAAAATGTTTTTCTTTCCATAATTTCAGTTATTTGCATTTTTAAAGCCAGCACGAGCAGCAGTGTCCTCCCTGTCTCCCCTGTCACCCACTGAGGTTTCAATTTATTTAGTCCTTATCCAGATCATCATGCAGGAGGCACCGACAGGCTCACATTCTGTCCATACACAAACACACACACACACACACACACACACACACACACACACACACACACACACACACACACACACACACACACACACACACACACACACACACACTGGTACACTTGTAAGCATCATTCCTTCTTTCTTTGACACATGTTGAATTTCATTTTTACCAGGGTAGGAAGAGACTGGGCCTAAAATAAGGATGAACTTTTATTTTGAAATGTAAAGGAATACCTCAACAATTGATGTGTTCATCCTCAGACTGTCTGATGTTGGGGACCGAGGTGGACCTGCAGCAGGTGGAGAACAGTGTGCTCGCCATGGAGACCGTGTTGAAAGCGTGGCTTCAAGAGCAGGGAGGAGACAAAGAGCACCTCCACCTCCTGCTGCCCAGTCTACAAGACAATCCCATTCCAGGTACAAGTTCTGCTGACAGGCATGCCTTTGTGTAGTAGCAGCATGGGTGTAAGGGATTTCTGCTAAGAGAGACAAAACAAGTTGAATATTTATTCAAACCCAAGAACACAATTCTCAGAGTGCACTGCTTGCTTTATTTTCTAATGCGACATGGTACATGAATCCAGAACTTAACCTACAACTGACCACAAAATTAAAAGGTGTTGATATCAGGTTGAAATGCTAAGAACCAACATGAGATGTTATGCAGGCAACAATTGAATACAGCAGTTGTATTACAGTAATGTCAAATGTCTTTTCAAACCTGTTTATGTTTGTCACTGAAGTGCGTATCAAGTGTGACATGCAGGAGCGCCTCATAAGCCCAGCGCTCATCCCCATGAGCTCCAACTTGGAGGTGAAGACAGAGAGCATCCGCGACTTCATGCCTGTAACGAAAGGATCAGCCAATCAGAGTCACCCGCCGCAGACGCTTAAAGCATTAAAGTAAGAGACAGGGCTTCAGAGAAATGTCTTTCGCTGAATGATAAGTGAGACTTTTTTTTTTAAACTGATAGCTCATCCTCTTTAACGAAACATTACAAATGTCTGTTTTCTAGAGAAATAGTGATTAATAGAGATTTAGAGGGGGGCGCAGGATGTGTACAAAGTAAAACAGGAAATGACAAAATATTCAAATCAATGAATGACTGAAAACATGACTGAGCTGGTATACATTAGACAGCAGGTGATAACTTTCGTAGTCAAATCACAGCTGATATAAACCATTTATTTTACATACTGCATGTGTTGAGTCTTTGTAAGTGTATCTCAAGTGTTTGTTTAAACAGTTATACTCAGGAACTGTTGTCTAGAGGTCATCACCTCTAGACAACAAGAACAAACTGGAATGAATGGCTCTGTTGTTCAAAAGCTGGAAGTATTCTTTGTGAAGTCCAAAAATATAAACAGAGCATCACATAGAACAAACTGATACAGTTTCTTCCCGTGCACCTGATTTGCATTAGTTTTACATTTTCCACAGCCACAGCAGGATGTCATGTGTGCCTGTGAGTGAGAGGAGTGTTTTGCATACCGGCCAATCCAGAAGTAATGGTTTCACTGAAGAGACATTTAAATGACGCTGGAGGACAGAGGCGGGATGATGTCATCCTCTGTCTCTCTGCTCATGATGATTTATGTGTTTGCATCCAGTCAGTGCAAAAAAAAAAACAGTTTGTACGAGTTTCAAAAGAGTGAATGCTGACTTCTTTGACATTCAAAGTTTGACTGTACAGTGTTATTAGCCTGAAAAAGAAATGCTCCTAAACAGTCGCTGTGGAGACTCAAGTGTCCATCATATCGGGTATCCATGGTAACCAGTGTTGTGTACGCTTGTGTTGCGTGTGTTTGCGCTGCTGCAGGACCCTGCGTGCAGATGGACTCTGTGAAAGTGTGTTGTATGGCTTGCCGCTGGTTATCCGCCCCACCACCTGCTGGCAGCTGGACTGGGATGAAATGGAGACCAATCACAACCTGTTCCACGCTCTTTGCCACACGCTCCAGGTGGGTTGTTGTTTGAACTGTTTGTCTGATCTCATTCATCCATGCACACTCATAGCCTGATAGCTGATCCTTAAGAAGCAGGAGTGAACTGCCGATCATCCGATTGGCGGATAACTTATCTAGATCAAGAGGCAAATAACGCAGTCGCACGAGTGTCCCCTTGAGGCTCCAAGAGACCAGGAAGTCACATACACACCCCGTTCTAAAATACCCATTTGTTTCCTGTCCTCAGCTTTGAATTGTGGTGTCTTTTTTTAGAATCTAAAGGTGAGCATTTAAATCACCAATAGCCCTTTTATTCTGAGAAAGACTCCTAATATGGTCCTCTCATACATTTTAATTCTTTGACAAAAGGTATTAGGAATACCTCCGGACCCCGATGGTTCAGACAAGGTCTGAAAATATGAGTTCTCCCTACTTGGTGAAAGTAGTTATTTTCTACTCAGAACGAGGTCACATTTCACTCCTCTACAAAACTTTCTTTGCATGTGTGTGTTGTCATGTGCTTATGGTGATATCCCCTGAGAATCAGACCTTGGGATGTTGCAGATAGCTTTGATGTGTAACTAATGACTCAAGGAGCCTCCTGTGTTAAAGCCCCCCCTCAGTCATCCTGGGTTTAATACACATGAATGAAATTGTTTGATGTAAGATTTGTGTTTCCCTATTTCAGAGTCGTGACTTGTTCCTGCTGCTGCAGGTGGAGCCCACACAGAGGTCAACATCTGGAGGCACAGGTTGTGTACGGTTACCAGTGTGTGCATGCGTGTGTGTGTGTGAGAAGAAAGTCATGCTGTGGATGTGTCAGTCCTTTGGTGGGACATTAATATGTCCTGTATATGTCTCTACAACACAGGTGTGCATTCTCACTATGTCCTCCAGCCATCCTCGTCTCTCTCCCTCCTTCTGAAGCCTGTGGTCTGCAGAGATCTGCTGCTGCCCTGCTCACTGCCTCTACCAACTCGGGAACCAACACCTGGTGCTCTGCAGGTTCTGCAGGTTAGGGACCTGTGATCATTAGAGGAGTACAGAAATATACAGAGGGATCAGAACTCAAAATTAAGAAAAAATACATTTAAATTCACATTGCATGTTCTGACAGAGGACAAAGAGCAAAGGAGAGATTTTCTCAGTGTCTACTTGTTACTAGTGTGTACAATTAACACTGTCAAAGCCCACAGATCAAACTTCTGGTTGTTTTCTGCTTGTTCCTCTGTCAGGGTTGTCTCAGTCAGCTGGACGAGGAGTTTATGTTCAACCCGCTTTCTCTGAGCAGTAACCTGTACCAGCACCTCAAGAGCAGAGGCCTTCTCTCTCAGCCAAGATACCCATACAGGTCAGAGAAGCATGAGGAAACAAATGATGAGAACATGATGCTACTAAATCTTTATAGGAATGGAGTTATTGATCCGCTTGCTGTCAGATAAGATCATTAATATGAGTTTAATAAAAGCAGGTAATGGTAAGGACAGGTCATGACATTGATGATTGTTGATTCCAGGTTACATCCAGCTGCTTCCCACAGAGATCAGTCTCAGCCACCAGAGGGCCCTAAATCCACAAACAAAAGACAACCGCGACAGGTAAGCACATCTTAAACTGAAGCTTTATGACGATGCAAAGGGCAACGTGTGCCGCTTATAAATGAACACATGACAATAGAGCCGACAATATTCAAGAGAGATTTGACAAGAAGAAGAAGGAGGAATATCTTTATGAACCTTGTTAGGGTTGTGTGCAGACAGTGAGTGCAGCACTAAAGGAACTTCCTCTTCACCCACAATTCTAAGTCAACCCGATAGATGGCAGCACTTACCATTTGGCATACAAAACATAAATCCACTGACACAAGCAGAAACATGACTGTCAATATGATGTGCGGGAGAGTGGAAGTGATTCTAACAGACAGACTGCATAAACACAAACAGCGGCTTAACAGGAACTTAAGTAGGAGTGAAATGAATCAGTTATTGTTATTGTGTGGTGCTCTGGGACGAGTTTGGAAGTGGCCTTAAAGAAAGACGTGTTCAGAATCTTGACATTTATAAAATCAAAGATGATCAGCTGTAATAAGAGCGGACCTTCATGCAAAGATCTCAACATGTAGTTTGTCATTTTTTCTATGCTGTGTGTCACTTTAATAAGTTGCATCATTTCATCCTTTACTGTCATGTTGTTACATGAACTGAGGCCTATAAGCTGTGACCTGTGAGTCTGTGTAGCTGTTGGTAGCGTGACCTATCAGGACTTTACATGCAAATAGTTCATTACAGCTCTGCTGATGTTCTGTTTGTACTTTGGCACGCTCTCTTATCATCCACTACTCTTAAACTCACCCTAAGCTCTCTTTACTTTGTTTTCTGTTATCCTGTCCATGTCCTCCTCCTCTCTCGCCCTCCTCTTTATCTCTATTTTTCCTCATAAGACGTTATCCGCCTTGTCTTCTCAGCCACAGAACCAGGGTCGCCAACAGGGAACAAACAGCAAGGTCAGGGCCACTGTGGCTCCCTTCCCCTCTTCCTCTTCCTCCCACTCCTCTTCCTCTCTGGGACCTCCTCCTGCGAAGGCCTCTCGTCCCTCTCTGATGCTCTTCAGCAGCACCAGCAGCAGCGGAAGCCGCAGAGCGCTGGCTCCTACTCGTCAGGTCATGGACGAGAGCGGTGACGACGCCATGATAATACAGTGAGAATGCTTCAGTGTGGGTGGATGAAGTTGACTGAGGGAGCCTAACAGCAGCAGAGAGAGAAGTGGTGTAGAATAAGTTATTTGGTTTTGTACACTTCTGCATCCTGGCCTGTCACTTCAAAGGGCTTTTTTATATCAACTGCAGGATGGATTATTCGGTAGAAACCCACAAGAGAACACACATGAGGATAATTCATCAATATTGTGAAATTACTGAGGAATAATTCAGCTCGTGAATGAGAAGAAAACATTCATTTGCAAACTGTCCCATACTGTGAACACATGCCATTCTTCTTTTTCTCGATTCTTGAATTCATCTCTATTTTTTTTTTTTCTCACCACACAAGCAGTATTAGCCGGGGCTAAATTTAAATGACCCTTTTTTTGTGCATGTGTGCGTGTGAGCATGTGTGAGAAAGAAAAGTTTCAACTATCTGCCCTCTGCAGAAGCTGAAGCAGCAAGCCTTCAAAATCCCACACCATGAACAATGGAAAAAAAAAAGAGCGAAAAGATTAAAAGAGTGAAAAATGGAGTGAAGGAACATAAAGAGTCAAACATGGTGATGAAAGTGAACGTAAGGTGGGTGGTTTGCAAGCTCAGAGGGAGATTAAAGGAGCTATAAAAGCATGCCCGTGCCCACATCCACATACAAACTTCAACTCAGAAAGAGATTAGCTAATTATTGCTCAGACACAGTGATGCAGATATTCTCTATCTGTAAACTCGACTGGTGCATATTAATAGACTTGTGATATAGCTGCGTATCACACATTCCACTTCCTTTCTGCCCTTAAGCCCCGGTCTGAACACAGCTCCTCTGTTTTAATGAGACACAGAATCAAGCAGCAGACAGAGGAGCCTCTCTGCTCGCCCGCACCCCCACAGCCAGCTCTCTCTCTCTCTCTGAGGGTCGAAGTAAGTGTGAGGCGGGTGTTGACAAAAAAAAAAAAAACAACAGCTCGTTTTTGTTTAACCATTTAGGTTTAGAATGAAGACCAGCAGTGACATCATCGGAAGATGTCTTTACAGTGTGACTTTTACAAACATGAAATCATTCTTCAATCATACGCACACACTCACGTTGGTCAGTTAGTCATCCCTCATCAGAAGTATTATTTATGTATTCCAGTGAAGGAGCTTTGTCATCCACACACACACACACACACACACACACACACACACACACACACACACACACACACACACGAGGGCCTAATCAGTCTCCCGCCATTCCACCCCCTTACTGAACCTTGTAACATCAGGGACTACCGGCTACACACTCGCGAAAGACATGATGCATGACGTTGTGATGTCACAGGACTTCCCGCATTCACAATTTACATCCACAACGATCCTTTTGTCTCTCGAGGGAATTTGACGAGACCTCAGAAACTACCCACTGACATTTGATCCACTTCTCTCCGGCTCATGCTGTCCCTTTCCCGCCTCTCTCTCTGTTCTTTCTCTTTTTGCAATTTTTTTACACAAGCAGTCAATTTCATGAGTTTGCATAAATTGAACGACATCATCTCCTCTGCCCCCCCCCCCCTTCCCCTTAAAATGAGTTCAAAAGGCTAAAGCCGAACTTCCTGTTTATCCTAGAGTTCATTTTCCAGCTTCGTCTTTGAATGTCACAACTGTTAGAGATTAAAGGGGCGCGACAAACAGTCAACACAAGTGTCCCTAATGGTGTTCGTTCGTTCATGCTGGAGAATGTTTGACCCATAGCAGGTCTCTTTAAACAAAGTTCTTTGTTCGTTGTTGTTTTTTTTATTCCACCCTAATAACATCTTCATCCCATTGTTTGGACACGTGTGTCTTTGTTCAGCTGACATGTCGCTTCCTTTTAGAGTTTCAATCTGATGTGTGATCTGAACTGCGAAATGGATTGACATCAATTGAGGTCATTTGTTCACTCTGTAAATGAATGTCAGCTCTTTGTATTTGAGCTGTTGTGTCCTGATTCATGTTCTTTAACTTCCAACATATTTATAAACATATTTATTACCCTCCTCCTCTCAGATTGGTGTGTTCACGTTGTTTATTCACTGTTTGTGTATCTCCTGACTCATCGAACAGTGAAGATGATTTGATGGTTCTTTTACATCTTGGAAAAAGAAACCAGTGGGTCCATCGACTCCTGAAAACAAGACCAGATCAAGAAGAGTTTCACCTGTGAATTAAGGAGCTCCTGGTCACTGTCAGGTGTTATCAGGATGTCACAAGTCCAGTGTGATACGTCACCGTCACCATCGATACTGGAACCACACGTGACAAAGACGCTTTAGATCCTGCTGGTGGTATGTTGGAGGTAGTGACAAAACAGATAAACACACACAAGGATGGACGCAAGAAACAAAATGTTGAAAATCAAACCTGTTCCGGGACGGGAAGAAAAAAAACGACTCACTGTGTGCAGGCCCGACAGTTTTTAAACCCCAGATGCTGTAAGGTGAAGCCAGGTCAGATAATGGTATTATTGGTTGTTTTGTGGATTGGGATTTAACAAACTGCTTGAGCATGAAATGAATCCCAAATGTGAATCCAAAAGAGTTCTAAGAGACCAGAGAGGTGCAACATTAAGATGAGTTAAATAAATATACATTTTTAACAAACAGGTAGTAACAGTCGAGTATACACCTACAACCTAGACAATTATAGGTATACACCTTCAAATGGCAGTCACATACGTGTATTTAACTATAATAACATAGGTTTAATAATTAAAAAAATAGAGTTTTCATTTTCATTCAGATGGGTCACCTCCAAAGGGTCATGGGTGGTCCGTTCCTTAAGATTAAAGAGACCATTATTAACCTGTAATCCTTGTCTGTGTAACCAAAAAGATCCTCTGAGGTGAAGAGAGAAACTCCACCAACCAATCCGAGCCGGTAGGTTAGTAAAGCTTTGTTCCTACGGCACCTTTACACCACTATCTCACAGAGCATGAGGAATGGATGAGAGAGGGTTGGTGGGATGTTCTGATGCCGAGTGCAGACAGAGATCACAAAGTGTGGTAGAGACCGTCTGTCTCCTACTCGGTAAGTTTTGATTCGTCTTTTCCTGAGGGTGGGGAGGTGACCTTTGTCTCTTTTTGCAGACAGTGAATAGCTTACACGTCTTTGTGTGTCAGCCAGCAGGGACAGGACAACACTCACTGTCGTAGTGCGTCTTTGGCTCAGAAGTTCTGTATTTGTTGTACATGGATGTCACGGCTTCCTGTTTCTCAAAACTGATTTTTTTTTTTTTTTTTGCCATTTCAGAAAGTATTTTTACATTTTTTTTCCATTCTGATCTAAAAATGATAGGCCGTTTAAGTCTGTCTGGCTAAAAGTGGTAGCATTAGCATTTCTTCTTTTGCATTTGATTATATCTGAGTCAGGGTAATATTAGTGCTGTTTCCTGCTTTGTTCTCATTGTACTGTTTTTTTCTTGCAATAGGAAGAAGACAAAAAAAAAAAGCCCCTCTGTTAAACTCTTTCTGTCTTACAAACAGTATATTTCCTTGAATTGTCCGCATTGATCTGAACTGCAGAACACAGGATTCCAATCTGCAATCAGCAACAGAGGAGGAACTCAAATAATAGTGACAATTCACATACAGGTCACAGGCAGAGAATAATCAACTCTCTCACAAGCAGAGATGAGTGAGAACAGAAAGAGGAAGCGCATGTTACTGAGGAGGAAGTGAGGAGGTGAAGTTAGGAGGCCACAGGACCTGAAGTAGATTCCAACTGACAGAAATGCGCCCGGTCTGTACACCTACGCAGGTCTAGAAACTTTTGCTGAGTCTGGAAATCCAATACAAAGTCCTGAGCATGATTCACAATGAAACCGGCCCAGATTACTAACCCAGCTTTCAGGTCGATTCAGAAAGATAATGGCACACTAAAGACAGCAATAGAAATTACTTAATGGGCTTTTATTAAATGCAGGATTTGTCCCCTTTACAAAACTGGGCGATAACTGAATGAGAAACCGTCTTCATTCTCACAGCGCCAATTCATAACAAGTGTGGTCTCAAGACACTCTACAAAAGAGCAGGTAAAAGACCTTACACTTAGTCATATCATCATTTCCTTCAGACAGCAGCGTGAGTCGAGAGAGAGAGAGTGAATGAAACTCTCTTTTGGTGACATAAGACTGAATGGTTTTGCCCACGCAGAGTTAAGTCAGGGAGGTCTGCAGAGTCAAAGGCAGGAGGAAACCGGACAGTTTCATGTGTGTCTGAATGCAGAACACACAAATTCCCCATTGGGTGTGAAAAAGAGAAACTGTTTATATTGGGTTTGCTGTTTGCACTGTGATTTTAAATAGACCGTGGTAACGAAGCTGCGTGACTGAGATGTTTATATTCAGTAGTGCACCTGACAGATGTGAGGCCTGAACACATCTGCATGGTCAACCGTCACAAATGCGGGTCTTCTTATATGTATTTATATTACTTTGTGAAAAAAAATAGCCTATTGCCGAAGCAGAATTAGAAGTCAACAACTATTGGCAGATGTCGACCAAGCGGCAATCTCTGGGTGTTGAAAAATATAATATAATGGCTGTAAAAGCCTTGAAAGTTCAAAAACTGAATGTGGTATCAATAAGTCATCTGTTTATTGGAATGAACTGCTGAATCTTTTTTATAACTCATCTATTTGGATTACATTAAGGCAAAGAGCGATGCATAATTAGGGGCTTGGCTGATCTGACTAACGGGCCGGTGCTGTTTGCCTCTAGCTATTGTATTTGCCCGCCTCAGCTCTACCTCTTTGCCTGCTGCTATAGGTTGACACAAAGTTAGATTGAGACAGCGTTTATGAAACACGGGGAACGCCATCGCTGGGCTTCAAAAACACTGCGTTTCAGACAGAAACCAACGGGTGACGTCGCTGAGACAACTTCCATGTTTCATTCAGTCTATGACGCCAACATGGATACTACAGTACAAAACATTTAGTAGGGTCGATTTTTTTAAATGGGGTTACCGTAGTAACATAGACTGTGTTTACATCAAAGCAGCTCTTAGGTAATCACTGAATGTG